TTTGTGAATGTGGCATCAGTCTATTTTATTAATTTATATTAGCAAAAGTATGGATATTAATGGGCCTGTTGAATGAACTAAAAATATAGATCTGGATGCAGAGAACCTTAATAATTTGATTGCCAGTCACTGATCTTTTGTACAGTACAGCACTCCAGGAAACCAAGAAAAATGTCCACAATTTAACTCATGCAGGCAAGTATTGTGAACTGACCAGAGAGAGAGTTCTAGCTGGGAAACGATCACTTACATTTAACACAGATTGCAGAGCTGAGTGGTATGTTAATAACGGTTGTCTATTTTTTATTTCTTTGTAAAATGGTTTTCTCCACCACATATTGCTAATTGTGTCAATGAAAAAAAAACATATCATATAGCTCTGAAAATCAGCATAGTATCAGATTCTTCTGACTGTATAACATTGATAACTTCCTACATGTGTTAAAAATGAAGTAGAGCTGTATAACTTCAATGTTTGCATAGCCGTCGTGAAAGAGAGAAGACCGATGCCCCACCACCAGTAGTTGAGGGGACAGTAGGATTCCAGTTTGAACATATTGCTCCCAGCGGCTCTGCCTTTGATCACAAATCAACATACTGGCCACAATTCACACTGCAAAATTCTTCTTTTATCCATCCCTTGTATTTCCATCTCCAGCTGCATTGCTCAGTATATCACACTTAACTTCCATCTAATTTAAATATGATTGGTTGCAGGAAGAAATACAGAAGAAGGAGTTTGAATAGTGAACATCCTGGATTTGCTTTTCGTTTCAAACTTCTACTAATTTAGCACTCGGTCATAGAAATATTGCTATGAAAAAGATGGTGACTGTTTCAAGCCTGTTGGATAAGATGGTGATAGGTGATTGTAAAAGGCTTTCACTCAGCAATGATTAATGGGCCAAGGAGGAATGTTAAAAGATAAAAGAGATTGAGCCTTTACTACTCCAACCATGGAGGTTCAAAGAGTAACTTTGTGCCAATAAGTGTCTCTTAATGCAACTTACTTTAATGGGGATATTGATATTAGCATAAAATGAAGAGATAACCCAAGTAAGCAACCTTGGATTCCTAGGATGAGGCAACCACAACTACTCAATGTGTTGCTACTCAATGTTTATTCTATATTAATCGCTCTTGGCAACTCCTGCAGAAGTCCGTGTAATTTTCTTTGGAGTGGCCTGCCATTGCATTCATTCTGGGGCTGAGAGAGAGAGAATGAATGTCCAAATTCAACTAGCTGGCTTCCTGCTTAAGACAGGAATAGCATTTATAGTCTATTTTCTACCCCATTGCCTTTAACTACTATATCAAACTGGCTCTCTTAAATATACATCTTTCCAGTTTTTGTAGGATTCTGGCTCTCCATCAGCTTTAATCCAACATAGTTATGAATGGTAAAACCTTCTGAGAAGTATCATTCAACAATCTGGATGTTCCCACAAAGTATACATGATGGTTGAGCATAGGTTGGCCTGATTCAGTATAATAATAAGACCCATACTCTATTCATATGTGGGTACAGTGGAAGGATTTTGGATGCTGCAGAAGATGCATATTAATAAGGCCAAAAGTGTTAGGTTCTTAAGGAACTTTTATAAAGGCAGAAGTCTGATTGGAAACGATCGCATTTAGCAAGTTGTTCAGACTTCTTAAAAATGTCTTAGAGACATAAGAAATGTACAGAAGCAGAGAAAAATTCACAGCCATCTGTGATCTCCCAGAAATAATTCCATCTTATCCTTCTCTCTGTGTGAAATTAGAGTATAGGATGGCAGTGAAATATCCAGATTTCCAGATTTGAATTTATTTTGGTAGGACAAAATCTAGACAAATTACAATATGTTGTGGAAGGATGGCTCATAGGCAAGTAAATAAAGGCAAATGACATTAACGTGCAGTATAAATATACAGTGCCCAATACAACAATCCTCCTTCCTTCAATTTCCTGTTGATGGCATTTAAAATGCCTATGAATCTCCACAAAAATATCTTGGCATCATAATCAGCTTAGTATACATCTGTGGGGGAAGCAAATTTGGTACAGTATCTCATAGAAAAGGGTGGAAAATGAACCTGGCAGTATTGTGATGCTTATTATTGGTACCATCACATTGGGATATTATGAATAAAGTTCTGGTTGGTCCATTTCAGAAAAGAAACTAGTCAGATTGTTTAGTACATCTACATCAGAATTATCTAGTTTGCTGTTCTGACCGATGCTTCCCAAGAGCATGAAACAAACTCCTTGTCCCGACAAAAAACCCTTTTATTAATTTACTGTGAATTCTGCTCATTCACATCCAGCAAAGTCTTTCAAGGGAGGATTTACAGTCACAGACCTTATCTGGCTTGGAGAGCTGCCAGGCCGATATCTGCAAAACTTGGCAAGGAGTCTCAGAGAGTCACAAACCAATTAAGTGAACTAATTGCCTCCTGCAAACCCCACTCCCCTTTCGCTCCTCTTTTATTTCCTCTGGAAGGGCCATTCATCGTCCACCTGTGGCCTTACTCCCAAGTCGACCCCTGTTCTTTAGCTGTTCCCTTCATCTGGCAAACTCTGAGCATGCGCACACTGGGAACAGGCCCCAGCTGTTTGTCTGCCTTACTGATGTCTGACTCTGAAGGCAGCTGATAACTGGCACAGAGCCCTCGTCAGAGCCTTCCACAGACTCCATGACTGGTCCATGTTCCTCTCCAACCTCCTCACTGTCCAAATCTGCTGCCAGGCCACGACATTTGTGGTAAGTGGTGTTCTAGAGATTCAGATAAAAGTACTTCACAACCACAATTAGAACTCTGAAATATAATTTTCTACATGCAAACAAATACTCTACCACTGAGACACATCACTTTCTCATCAAAAGAATGAACCAATCCAAGGAAGTGCTTCCTGAAAAGGTAATAAAATTGATTTGGGAGATCTGAAACATTTTTGCCATTCAAAAAAAGGCAGAAACATTAAGAAAAATATTCCAAAGGTTTACCAAATTATGGCTGGGTATGGCAAAAGTGGATAGATAAAGGATTTTTTCCTTTTCAGGGCATGAGGTTATACAGTCATCCATTGAAATTTATTGCCAGATTTGGGGCAAACAAAAGAAAGCCCTGTTTATAATAAACTCCATAATTAGTTTATTTCATTTGCTTTGTGACCATGTCCAGGTGGCCACTGGTTTAGTTGTAGAAGGAAAACTATCAATAATTAGTCATAATATGTTCCATGCATTGTTTTCTTTAAAAATTCTCACTTTTCTGGCATATTTTTTCTTCAGAAGTCTTCACCGATTTCAGTTCATGCAACTCTTGATAACAGATAATCCTGCAGACAAAATCAGCACTTGTCAAAGCTGGTCTCTGCTAGCAACATCTTCCATTTATGAGGTGGGGAAACAGCGTGAAAGAGGTTGAGGTAGGAACAGCAGCATTAGTTGCAAAATACATTGTGATATAATGATGGGAGCTCTGGTCTAATGCATCTGGGAATTGCTGATTTAAAGATATTCATTTTTTTAAAAAAAAAATGGAAACAAAACAGAAAGATGTTTTGCTGAATGAATTGTTTCACCATAGCACATAATTAGTGGCTGATTAAAGTGGTTGTTAACATAAGGAAAGGGAGAAAACATGTCAGACCTGAACACAAACTATCCCTAGAAAAAGAGCAAGTCAACAGAATCAGTGGCTTTTCCACACCACCAGCCTAATCTGCCACTTAGTGAATTAAATTCATTCCAAATCATAGTCTTATCCCCTATTGGGATGTAATTATATTAAGTAAATTATTCCACTCCACTCCCCCACAATTAATTTGGGGCAACTCAAGGTCTCCCAGCACAATCTAGGGAGTGCTGTTAGCGTTCTTTATAAAATGTCTGTCCATGCTATATCACTTTTCTAAAGTAAAGGCAAGTTCATTGTGGGGATTTCTTGTCTGAAGTCTAGATTTCAGCATATTACCTGGGAGCCCAAACAACAAAAGAAGACCAAAGGCCTGAAGCATTTCATGAAATTAAATGGCAGAAATATTCACACCATAAAGAAATCTTAAAAAGAAAGTTCTCTCTGAATAATTGAGCGGAGCCTGAATTTGTTAGGTTCACATTTGCTGCATGGGAAGATTGTCCCAAGGCACCAGATTTTGGTTGGATAGGGTGGTGTTTTGTTTTGTTTTTGCATGTCATCTCCAATGTTTTCTATATTTCTCTCCTGTTTACTTTCTCTATACGTTCTAAAATATATGACCATGAAAGCAATGCACAGACAGGTTTGCCTTCACAGCTTCAGATTAACAACACCCACCTGTCTGAGGTCTGTGAAGAAGTGTTTTAGTCTAACCATGAGCTACTCCCTGAGTCAGTCTAGAAAACGAACCTTTGGTTTAATATCTATATTGTGATCCATCCTCAGAATCACTAAGCAGGCACATTGATCCTCCTCCCCCAGTTGCTTCTAAGAATTAATCTGATCCTGACTCCCAGCACAGAGAATCAGTTGCACGGAAGATGGGAGCCCCTCACTGTTATCTATCGCTATAGTTTCCCAGGCAAGAAAAACTGTTTCAGGAAACTGCGTGCCCACTGTATCTAGCACCCTTCTCTATTGTCCTGGGCGCTAGAATTCAGCACCACGTTGTTGGACAGCTCCCGCGGGGGACTATTTTGTACTCCGACACGCTGCGTGGGGAGTTTGATTGCAGCACCCTGGTTTCGGACAGCTCCCCGCAGAGGTAATAAATGCGTGGCAAGCTGCTTTGACATCCGCGTCGTCGTCAGAGTTTCAAATGTGAATCAAATAGGCGAGCATCGCAGCGAGCGAGGGACCTGCCTGCACGCTAAGCAAATCAAGAGCTTTCAGCACCCGAGCTGTGGGCAGCTACTTATGTAAGAGGAAAGGATCCGGAGGACGCGTGGCACCTCCAGCATTTGACAGAGGCAAGCATCTTTACAGCATGAAGCGGGCATCCGATCCTTGAGGGGCGGGGAGGAAGAGAAAAAGAGTTGGTTTGGTTTGCTTGCCCCGGGAAACCTCGAAAGCCACCTGGAAAGAAGCTGACTAGTGAGCTGCTCATCCCTCACCTAACAGGTGTCTCTTTTACCAGGTAAGCCTTGTTATTCAGGTGCATTGACCATGAGTAGAATTGGAGCCTGACTACCTCTATAAATATTTTTACATACATTGTGATGTGTGCCTGTGTGGTGCTTTTTTTTTTTTTTTTAAGAAACAGAGGGATGTTGTGTGAATTTTTCTTTGCTCTTATTTCATGCCATCCAACTGATCTTTCTCTTTCCGGTCTCCCCTTTCATCCCATTCACTGCAACGGGATGTAGAAGGTTGAGGTAGCCCTCCGTTGTTTCCCAACCCTACAGATATCCTTGCCATCGCATTCTATTATTCCCCCAAAATTTAGACGATTGGACAGGAGATAGGATCTCTGCAAGCCAGCCATGATCACTTCTGGTAACTGGTTGTCTTTCAAAGTTTAATTTGGGAGTCATATCAGCCCACTTCAGAATTCATGATAGGAGCTTGGTCCAGGATCCAGGAGCTAATTTGAGGTCTCACAATCAAAACAAATAAAAAGTTTTGTAATAGGAGTTATTATTAAAAGTATTAATATTTACAGAACACTAGAGACTAATGAGACTTTCTGGGATTCCACTGGATATCCACTGAGACACTAGAGGGCACGGATGATGGGGGGGAGGATATTGGGGGGGAAATGAAAAGGTTAGCTTTAACAAATGTATATGTTTAAAAAATGTATAGAAATGAAGCATCCTAAATAGGAAAATAATATCAAAATAGAGGATAATATATACCTCCACTGAGACAATTGTATCATACCTGAAGTTTTTATTTCTTCATTTTAACTTATAAGTGTATTTACTTCCTTAATTATTTAATCCTTTTGCTTATTACTGGTTTATATTTGTAGCGATTTCATAGATCATCCACAGGGGCAGGCGGGAAGAAATTGAAAATTGTCTGCTTTCTCTATTTTTAGTTACTTTTTCTTTATCTGCAATCTTTTTTTTAAAAAAAGCTTATAAGAATTCCAACTAGGGGGAAAAATACATGATGGAATGAGGATATTCTCCCTCCCTCCCTTTTCACATAGGTTCCCAGCAGGGATATGCTTTATAATCTAGAGCCAGAGGCAAAGCTAAGAAGAGAGTGCTAGAGCATTTAACAAACTCCGAGGGGAGAGAATGTACAATGATTGTTTCTTTCAAAAGAAATCACAAGAGGAAGCTCACATTATAACATATATTAAAGAACCTTGTTTATCATTCAATGGGTAAAAAGCTCAAAATGCCTTTGCAAAAAGTTTGTTCCGCTTACAAATGTGAAGAGACATTTATTATTCCTCTGCTCCTCTCCCAACATGACACAAAGGAAAAGATGAGAAAGTCAACTCAGCATGCCAATTTTCCCACTGGTGTCTTTCAAATGTTTTGTTTGACCAGCCATCTACTCTAAAAAGCCTTTTGAATGAATTGCTGAATTTAAAATCACCCTGGACTATCATCCATCAGGTGCCACTGTCAAGTCATCCCCCCCACTCAGAAACCTGCCCTCCCAGAATATCTTTTTGTAGTGTGTGTGTGTGTGTGTGTGTGTGTGTGTGTGTGTGTGTGTGTGTTTTGGTGTCAATTAAATCAGGAGTAAGAGTAGCTTGATTCTGACCCTGAGCAGATCTTGGTACATTTTAGGATGCGTATATTTCTTAAAAGACCTGCTGGACAGTACAAAGCAGAATTGCAGATTGTAGTGATGTGGCAGTTTGCATCTGATTTTTACTCTGATGTACAAAGAAGCCTACCTATTGCATTTATGACAGATGTTTTGGCAGAGCTATTTGCCCAAGAAAGCAAAGGGAAAGCTCCCCTTGGCCTTAAGAGGATGGCATCATCAGGTGAATTATTAGATTCCTATAAAGTTAAACACATATGCAAATGTTTCCCTGATCCCTAGTGTAAGGTACTCATAGACCAGACTTCATTTCAACTCCAATTATAAGTATAAAACTCACTTGAGAAAAAAAATGAAGCAAATATTTCCTTCATAGTCTAATCTACACTAGAAAGATGATACTGAAGATAAAGTGGGATAAACTCATAGATAGACTATGCTGATTATTATAAAAGATGAGTGGAACAATGTTTAATAAAGATTTAAGCTGTCTTAAGTTTGGGGCTAGATTGACATCTTGCCTTTCCTCTAGAAAAATCAAAGTAATATATATTATATAGAACTCCCTCCTCCAATTTTTATTATAAGAAAATATCCATGGGAAAGATGTGTTGGAGGGATGGTGGTTGATTCAGTCACCCAATGAGTTCCCATGACTGAAGGTTGACGTTGGTCTCTATTTTTGAAGTCCAATAACACCACATCTAGTGAGGAAGAGTATGTCACCAAATCCTTCAAAACAGGTTTTCTGGAGCCAATTTCTGGGTATACGGAGGAAATTAATGGGAAAATATGAAAATAATCTCTAATTTTTTTTAAACACTCAAAATACGGTATGTGTAGTTCTTTTCAACTTAATTCTGGAACCGACCAATGAAAGTAATTGCTTCAGTTAATCTACTACTGTTGGTGCTCAATTTATCACCACATTTGAGCCCAACATTTCTGTTGCTAAAAAGGGAGTTGTTCTGTAAATTTTGCTCCATTTTATGATCTTTTTAGCCACAGTTGATAAGTGAATCAGGATTAAGTCATTATGCAAATCTGGCTTACCCCATTGACTTTGCTTGTTGGAAGCTGACTGGGGAAGACCACACAGCTTCAGAATAGGGAAACTGTCATAAAGACATGCCAGTTGCCAAGTGCCCAAATTTTGATCAAATGACCATGAGAATGCAGCAACCGTCATAAGTGTGGAAACCAGTCATTCAAACTTCAGTATTTAGTAACTTCAAATAGTTACTAAACAAATGGTCGTAACTTGAGGACTATTGTATTTAGAATCTAGTGAGAAATAATATGATTCTAATATTTGTGTTCATAAACTTGGCAAAATCAAACCTTATTACCCATTTGTGGATGGAACACTGATTTTAAGATCCTTCAAAAGAAGTCAAATATTCAAAATGGTAGATTATGAAAAATATAGAGGAGGACCGTACAAGGTAACTAAGCCCTTATATAAATTAATGGACTTTTTTGCTCTTAGTTCTGCCCAGAAATAATGACTGCATGTCTTCCCAAATAATGGAGTAATAAAACAGAAAAACATTCCTATGCAGTAATGAGAGGAGGATAGCGGTAGCTGCCAATCCACATGGTTAGCTATGGTGTGAAGCCAAATGCTACATTAAATGGAACTTTGATCTAATCAAATAGGACTTTTCTTATATTGCCACTACCAAACACTGTGAATGGTTTTGAAACAAGAACAACAAGAAGTAATAGAAAGAAAAGGAATAGAAGCACTAACAAAGACAGTAGATTAAAATAGCCAGGACTGAAGATATTTCTAAACAGTCTGCTGAAGTTTCCAAATGACTGGTAACATTTTCTCCTCCTAGACATTTTATTGATAAGGATTGGACCGAACTAGTTTTTATCAAAAAATATATTGCTGAGCTAAATCCTGCATCAGCATCCAGAAGCTTGATCTTTGGGTCTTGGAGAGAGAGAAAAGCATTGGTTTCACCTCAGTGCTAACTAATTCTCTTTAGATGGGCCAAACAACAAGATCCATTGCAACATAGGTAATAAAATGCATGAAACTGCTTTTGTTTAGTACAGGAGTACTGAAACAAGTGCAAATTATAGGAGCGAAGAAAGTTAACCTTCTCCTATCAAAGCCTCTTGGTTCCACTTTTCCTCCAAGGGGGTGTTCTAGATACATCAACAATTGGTGAAGCTCCAACATGCCTTGGACACCATATGCTTTAGGCATCCTAGTAGGAGTGAAGATGCAATAGGAAATTGGCAGTCAGGGAAGGGTAGCACTCCCCACCCACTCCTTTTTTTTCTTTAGAAGAAGCAGCTGTAAGAATTTTGCATAAGATATGTAGCTTGGCTTTATGGGTATTGCCCAAACAAGGTCTTAGACTCTGTTCTGGCCTTCATCCAAACTGTGGCTCTTTCCTTTCAATGGTAGTATTTAATTAGCTGAAGTAATGATTTTGGTGAGAAAATAATTCTAGAAGGATCATATAAGTGCAGGGTTGGCTGATTGAGTTGGGGATCAAAACAACATGAGTTCCTTGTGGGAAATTAATATCTGAGCTTTTTTGGTAAGGGGGCATTTCTAATTGTTATATTGTATTGCTTGCACTCTGAAATAGGTGGAATCAATTTCAAATATCTCCAAAGATCCATGAATGATATGCAAATGGAAATGTATTTTATCACACTTAATAAAATCATTACGCTTCTGTGATTTATTTTATGATAAAGGGTTTTGCATTGTCTGAGTTCTGCTTTACTAATGGGGTGTGTGTGTATGGGTGTATACAGTTTATGGTCAACTATAAGCTGACAGTTGCATATTACATATAATGAAAAAGGCAATTAAAAAATAATATTACAGAGAAGGGGGGAAAACAATAGTGATATAACAGAGTTTTGCAATCCTTGTAGAGATTTCTAGAGATGAAACAAGTAAAAGGAGAATATTTTTCTCTACCAAGCATTATTAAATATCTGCGCCAGGCTGCCAAAATGGGCAACACAGAAATATGTGCAACTCTATTTTCTCCTAAAGGCAGAAATCTGGACTGAGATATGTACATGTGTACATACAGTACATTTCAAATATGCATGTAAATTAAGTGGAACTTAAAGCAGTATAATTCAGCCTAATTTAAAATTTGAATTTGAGATTTTCCCATTGTACAGAGATGTCAACCCAGGACATTAAAAAAATGGACCTCCAAGAATTTATCCATTTCTATTTTACGTTCCCGCTATTTCCACATCTGACAGAATATACCTTTTGGTGCATTTCTTTTATATGTTAATATGTTACTGGGTGAAGCTTTTGATCAAGAAATTTTGATCATGTCCTATTCAGCCATAAAGAACAGTGTATGGATCTTGGCTCCAATTTTCTTCCATGGTTACATAATCACAAAGTGA